TTTTTTGTGTTTCTCACCTTTATTTTTCTGTACAGGGAAGTGAAGTGTTTCAACTGGTCTGGTTTCAAATATATTATATGTTTATATATAAATATATTTTTATACAAATATATGTTTACATATAAATATAAATATCTATTTATATTTATATATATTTTTACAACTGGAGAAATTTTCAAAGAATTTTGGCATGAAAATGACATTATCTATCTAGAACTGAATGTCCAAGTTACATAGGTGTGACCATGATTTGCTCAGATGCAAAAAATTCTGGTTCACACCATGGGGACAAGTCTCTTATCTACTGTAGCCCATGGCAATAGGCAACTAGACGTGTGGTGTGAGATGCTTTTGGGGGAAGATCCATAGGGCACTTATGATGGTCAGTTGAGTGGATGCCAAGGCGGGGGCACCCCCTTGGCTGCTGCGAGGAGAGGGCTTTGAAGACCCAAGAGACAAAAATCAAGATGGTGTGGGATGTGAGTTGCCCCGGACAAGTCTCTTTGCATCTGCTCCAGAAATCACATAGGAGGAGATGCAGGTGGCGGACCGGGAGTATTAAACTACACATGGAAGGGTAGAAGTGGTTGGCTAAGCCAGGAAGTTGACGAGAACCAAATCTTAAGGGGATGCCTTTTAACAGACCTGACAGTGCTGGTTTTCAGTTTCTTCTGCACTTTCGGAAAAATGATTTTGCATGCATGGTCTACTGACGGTGACCAGAGGAGCACTCAGGTATGAGGAGAGTGGAGAGGGTGCATGGTTGCACACCTACAGGTTGGCACAGCTTCACAGAAAACCCACAGACCCTCCCACACCAACCCACACATGCCTTAACACAGGTGTGTACCAGGCTGTCTGGGGTTATGGGAACATAGATCCCTTAAAGTGTTCATTAGATGCCGCCTGCTGCTCAGGATGCTCAAACAACAGAAGTGGGTCCTCTTTGTCAAGAAAGGAGTTACCCTCAGCCAGGCGCGGTGGCTCACACCTGTAATCCCAGCACTTTTAAAGGCCAGGGTGGGTAGATCACCTGAGGTCAGGAGTTTGAAACCAGCCTGGCTGACATGGTGAAACTCCATCACTACTAAAAATACAAAAATTAGCTGGGTGCAGTGGCACATGCCTGTAATCGTAGCTACTTGGGAGGCTGAGGCAGGACAATCACTTGAACCTGGAAGGTGAAGGTTGCAGTGAGCTGAGATCACACTACTGCACTCCAGCCTGGTGCCTGGCAACAGAATGAAACTCTGTCTAAAAAAAAAAAAAAAAAAAAAAAAAAAATGAGAAAGTATCTGGTTTAACTCCCAAATTTGAAGGACAGGAGTAAGTGTAGGGTAGAGTTTAGAAACAAAAGCCTTTCAGATTCTAGGAAAGGGTATTAATGAAGGTTGAAATTCAGCAAGATAATGCTCTTAAGTTCGTCAGACTCCAGGTTTTCAATCAGGCTGAGTTTGTAAGCCAGGCATTTGGGGAGAAAGAACAAAGTCTGGGGGCTCTCACCCAGTTCACTGAGGTGGGTGTGGCCTTGCGGGCCACTGTTTTAGCACTGAATGACAGTGGAGGAGCCAAAAGAATCCAGGGCTGCCTCTGCTCACTGATAGGATTGGCCTCTTATTGTGTTGCTTGGAATGGAAGCACACAGCTTTTGAAAAGAAGTTATGCCAGAAATGTTTTAAATTGGGAGAAGTACCAATTTAGAAAATGAAGGGGAACCCTGGAGATGCCACATGTTGGTCTTCGGAAATGTTCCCTGCTGAATCCTTCCATGAGAATATTTTGACTTCTATGTAATAAAGAAAGGATGCAGACGTGAGGGTAATGAAGAGGGATGTGTGTAAAGGAAGATGGAGTCCAGGGCAATCCGGGGCAGCACAGTCTCCACCATGCGCAGTGTCGGCTCATCGTCTTCATTTGTATTGACTGAGCACATGCCAGGAAGTGGACAAAGGGCTTGCTGGCAGCTGGAAATGGACTCTAGAAACATCTGGGAAGAGAGGGCAGAGAGCTCACAGTCACGAAACCATGGGTTTCTCATATGCGTGGAGGAAAGAAAGGCTATACAGAGTATCTGCAGAATTGGGTTCTAGAGAGCAAATTGCCCAGTTGATTTACACTTCAGGCAGTATGACTGCTGTCTCTGAAGGCCTGGGACTTTGGAAGCAGATGGAGAGCAGCCCAGAAGCCAGGAAGCCCCCCGCAAAGAGAACAAGGAGCAACGAGGATGGTACTGCTGATTGGATTTGCCTTAGCTGTAGGAACAAGGCCACAAAGGAAGGGATGCCTCTGAGCATCAGCAAAGGAACATCCTTCAGTTGGGCAAAACGTTTTATTCCCCAAGAGATCTGAGGGAGCTAGGGCCCTGAAGACACCAGAAGTGGGAAAAGCATGGAGTGGTTTGGCTCTGGGCATGGCTGTCCCATTATCTCAGGCTTTGGTTGGTTGATCTCCTTCATGGTGAAGCCAGCAGGAGGAGTGTTCAGATGGAAGCTGATACAGCACTGGGCTGGGTAAGCAGAGCCAACTCTGTCAGCAACCAATGGGACCCTACCGGTGCCACCCCATCAAACGCCAGCCAGCCTTGGGCGCAGTTAGGGGTTTGACCTCTCAGGCCCTGCCAGCCCCAGCAACCTATACCTTTAAGTCTGTTAGATCAGGGCAAGGTAAATCACAGAGACAGAAAAATCAGGGGCCAGAAGGTGTTGCTGATGGGAGCAGCAAGGCTTCTTGTTTAATGCCTGACACTGTGAGCTCAGGTTGGCCTGGGACTGTTTTTCGTCTTGGTCAGTGTTTTGCATCTGTTGCTTAGTCCAGGGCCTGGGGGCAGAGCACACGGAAGTGGGGAAGTTTGTGGAAGGGGACTTCTCTGAGTGATAACATTTGGGAGGACAAAGGTCAACAAGAGAAAAAAGGAAAAAGAACAGAAAGAACCCCACAGAGAAGCAGCAGATTGGAATCCAGAAAGAACACGTAGGTGGTGGGGAAAGTTGCCCGTTCGAGAAAATTAAGAATCCTGAGGCATTCCCAAGAAAAAAGGGAGTGGAAAGGACATCTGTTAAAACTTCTGACAGTGGGATGGGGGTTGGGAGATGCCTCATTTCCATCTTTACAGGCTTCCCCTCTTACTTGCCTGTTACGGTGCTTGGTGGCATCAAGCTGTAGCTTCATACACAACCTGCAAGCTCATCCCAGCTTCCGGTATCAGGACCTCTGTGGCCCTGGCATAAGAATCCAGGCTGGTGATAGACACTCAGCATGTTCCCTTCATCTCCCACTCTTTGCTCCTGACTAGTAACTCATTCTGTGCCCCCTTCAGATCTGGATCTGTCCCCTCTTTTGGTTTCTGGAGCACCTGGGCTGTTCTGAAGGCCACATGTGATCATTAAGGCCTTGGGGCTCCTCCCAGATGGGGTGAACAGATGGTTTTTCAGCCTCAGAAGTTCTGTGTCCTTGTCTTGCCCCTGAATCTGATCGGCTGGTGACTTGAGGTCAGGAGCGTCACTCTTGCATGTGATTTCCGAGTGTTGGTGGCATGCCACTTCACAAAGCAGTTGGCACTTCTTACCCTGAAGGGCCTCTCCAAAGTGAAGCCCCGATAGACCTCTGTCCTCATTAAGCTGGGTCTACCTTTGGGATCATCCTTCTCTGTTATTCAGCCTTTGCTGGCCTTGGGCAAATCACTCTTTGAGAAACCTTCATTTCCTTGACTGGCAGCCAAGGAATAGGATTATTATTTGACTGAATAGGTTTTTATAATGTGGTACAGTAATGATTTTTTAAAATATAAATATAATATAAAATGTAAAAAGGCATGAAATAGACTCCAAAAGCAGGGCTTAAAAAAGAATTCCATTCATTACTACCTAAAAAAAAACTGAGCTTAGTGCAGTGAGCACATGGAAATGCTAGGTCCTAGAGCCTTGGGATCTATGGGCACTCTGCTTCGGAGCACAACGTACTCCTAGCTAGGGAACATCAGTGGGGTTTAAGAGAATTTGATTGTTATTCTCAATTCAATGCAGTGAGAATTTACAGAGAATATATTTAGGATATATGGAGGGAAGCATCTTGTCCAAGATCTCATAACAGGTTCGGTATGACAAAGGCAAGTTTAAAAATCACCTACCTATAGAATTTACCTTTCGTTGCAGTGTAGGTTCGATGCAGTCACATGGGGCGGGAGCTAGCTGGCAGGGACTGAAAGTTAGGAGGCTTCAATTCTAGCTCTGTTTCTGATGGGAACTTGCCGTGCAAAGTTGTGGTTTACCAACGGGAGGGACCCAGGATCCACTGTTTCTGTATATATTTGAGGAAACTGAGTCTTCAATACCCTAAGCCTTGGCTTCCTTCATATGTAAAATGGAAATAATAATTGGATACTTACTTGGCATGGATTTTTAGCAAATACAATGTGAGAATAACTGTCACAATATTTTGCAAAAATAAATGCATAGCGTTCTTGACTTTGCTTCTAGAAGCAGGTGTTCTCCTGTTCATCAACCTTTTATACTCATCATCCCCTTCTCTACCATGTGCCCAAGTGAAACCTTGTAGATTCCAGCAGGGTTTCTTCAAAGAGTCAGATGCAATTTTTAAAAACATTTCCTAATGGGCAAAGATCCCGTAACAGCAACCAGGCCTTGACCCATCTGGTTGGCCCTTTACACAAATAAGTGTTTGATAATCACCCTTCCTGGTAAAATATTTGATTTATTCTATGACCGTTCTTTAGAGGGCCCTTAAAAAAAACTGCAAAAGTTGTTTGCTACCAGCTTTAGGGAAGGGAAGGAAAGAACAGGAAGAATTATGAACATATACCCTTGGAATCGTTATCATATTAAACCTGTGTTCCTTGAGAGTACGAATTTTCTGATGCAGTTGAATCTCTTGCCTCTGGACAATGAAATTGCTATCCTCTGCCACAGAATAAATTACCTGTCAGGCTCTTTTAAGCAGTTTCAGGATGGTTAGTTTGAAGACAGCAGCCCAAGCTGGAGAAGGCAGAGGGGGCTGGGTGTGGGGAGAGCGAACTTTCAAAAGTTGCCGGTTGCGTGTCGTAGTGTTATTTGCTGTGTCATGTTGATCAGGTGCGATTTGACAGCTGCATGTGAGAGGCAGAAACCTCAAAGAATTAAGAAGCACCTTCCAGGTGTTTGTCTGTGCAGCATATGTCTGTGCAAGGCAGGGGGAAGGTGAACCAAGAATCCCTTTTCAACAGAGACCCTGGCATTCTCCTGCAGGTTGAAGCTCAAAATTTGTTTTTGCTACCTCACTTGTGGGGAAATGAGAGAATGTAATTGACCCCGTTATGAAGATAAATTTGTGTTCTATGGCAGCATAGAACAAGCCCACACAGATCTCACACACACAGACACACACAGATGTGTGTACATGTAGAATAAGGTTTTCTAATCGCTAGCCAGAAGCATTTATCCTAATTCCATTAAGCTTTACAAAGTGCCACATTGTTCATTCACCTTTGGGACATTTTTGGGGCCAGGAGCCAGGTGCTTCTCTCTCTGGTAATGCCCTAGTCAGCAGGGCCTAGAGGACCATGGGTGCAAAGGAAACTGTGCCAGGCCCTTTAGGAAAGGAAGAGAGAGCAGAAATAATTAGGACTGCAAACTTTGGTTACCTGTTGTGTGAACCTCTGAGTTCAGATCTTGCCCCCTAAACCAGTGGTTTGTAAATGTTTTGGTTCCAAATGCTGTTTGGGTAGCAGAAAATGGCCCTCCTTCTCCTACAAAGATCCCTAGCAAAATGTGTCACCTAAGGTGACTGGGAAGGGCTGCCATGCATTGATACACACATTGTATGTGTATATGTGCATATGTGTGTATATGCACGCAGGTGTATGTATCGGCATATGTGTGTGCATGTATACCCATGTATACCTGTGTGTGTAGACATGTATGTATAATATGAACAACCAAGTAAATTGTTTGTTCATGTATTCTAATGTGTCGATGGCCATACTTTCTGAGAGACCAGTTTGCAGACAGCCTGAAGAATTTTCAGAGGCCTCCCAGGATGGCTTCATTGGCTGGGGCAAGCCTCTGTGGTTGCAGAGCGCATGATCAAGGTGGGCTTGCTGCACCTGTGGGCCATGTGTCTGAAGCTCCAGCACCTGCCAGCTGTGCTGTGAGTGTCAGGGCAGCTGGATCTGGCTGAGACTATTTTCTGCTTCTCAATTCCCTTCAGGCCTGAGGGGAAAAAAAAAAAAGAGAACTGCAGTTTGTGAATGATACCAGGGCTGCTGAATGAACCAGGGACCGCTGACGTTCTTGCCAATCGTAAAGCACGTTATACACGGTAATAATTGCAGGTTGATACTTGCTGCCTGGGATGGAGTTTAAATGGGACGTGACAGTTCATCTCAATGTGGGTTGACAAATGAATATGTCCATGTGTTTCATATAAACCTGTGAGAGTACATCACTGACTTACTGTCGAGCAGCGGGCAGTCGGTATGGAACAAATCTTTTTGTTTTAATATGTTGACAATTCGCTATAGGGATAATTGAAAAAAAAAAAAACCCATTAGACCAAGTAGAATTGTCAATACCAAGCACATCTAAAACTCTACAGAACTGTGATATTTTAAAACAGCTGTTGAGGTGTTAATATGTGCAGGGCATTAGATTAAGCCAGTCTAATTGCCAACAAGTGGCAAGAATAGAATACTTCCGTAGTCTAATATCAAAGTCCTTGCTTTACTGTGACACTATATGATACTTTTAAATATATGTTAGGCTAATACTGAGATTATCCAGTTAGAATGATCATACAATGTTGATATTCAGTGTATGGTTGAGAAGTTAGCAGTTCCATGTTTAACTGGATAATATAAACAATAGCTCTGTTGCAAATGATTGTTATGTATCTACCTTCCCTGTTTTTGCTATGTCAGTTTAGACCTGAGATCATGGGGGACTGTCAAATAATAATAGACCAAATTAGTATTTATTGAGCACTTACTACATGCTTGGCACTGTGTCCCATGCTCTGTCATGGATGATATCATCAAAGCAACCCTACTATAGTTACTTACTGTCATCTACACCGCACAGATGAGGACGTTGAAACTCTAAGTGGTCATAGACTCTAAAGCCGATATTTTAGCCAGAATTTGTGGTCCTAACCACCGTTGAACCCAATTTATAAACATGCTTTTTACATGCTGTGTACAAATCCACACATGTGCTTGTGCACCTGTAAATCGTGTTGAGGTTTTTCTTCATAGGGTGTAACAGAGACATGCTTCTCAAAAGCTCCATCCTCTCAGAACCACAACCACACACTGGATGCAGTTCCTGCCCCCTCCCCTGCTCCCCCTGCTGTCACCCCCCCCCACCCGCCTCTCCCACCACCCCACCACCCCCATCCCTCCCCCACCCCTCCCTCGCCCTTGGCTTTCCTTCCGCTCTGGCCTCCACAGAACTCAAGGGCGTAATCTCAGCTCAAGTTAATTTCACTTTTCACTCCTCCCACTGCTTCACCTTTCTTTCTCAGTGGAGACAGTGGTTTCCACTTAATGTGGAGGGAATCAGGTGGGCTTGTCAGGCTGCCCTCTGCAATCATGTGGCCCTCCTGCTTCTGACAGTCTGTAGTGTGTGCTCATGTTGCTGTGGCCGCCACCTCTGGGTTTTCCTGTATCTCCAGGTGGTGTGTATTTAGTGGTCTGGGGCCAACCTGGGGTGGGAGAAACAAGGGAGAGTTTTGCTGAAAATAGGAGAGTCTGAAGAGGCCAACGAGAGCACAATGGGCTAGGGATCTCTTGGTGCAGCGGGTACCGGGCTGGTGACTTTTTCTGTTTTGCGTTGTTTTCTTTTTCTCCTCAGATGCAGCACTCCTTCCATTTGTGATCTTCAGCTTCACATAGTCACATGCACAACCCGCAGCTCTCACACATACACCCACACGTCACCAGTGATCGCAGTTTAATTTGTGAGAATGTGTATGTGTGTGCGCACGTGCTTACATGCAAACATGCTCACACACATGTGGGCTCATCCCTCCCTGCTAGGTTTCTGCCCTTCAGGAGTCAGTTTCCTCCGATACTTTGCACTTAGGACCATGATGGGAGGCAGCTGGCACAGGTCTGGACTTTTCAGGGTCCTTCTATGCACCCTGTTCTGACTATTACACTCCTGATTCTCTCTGGAGAGGGAAGTGGATGCCCTGTATTAGTTGATGAGGCATCTGAATTGGATTTTCTTCTCCAGAGCTTCAGCTAGTAACCATTTTTATCTGAGGACTCCAGGAACAAAGGAAAAGAAAATCTAAGGATGCTCCCTGGGCGTGCTCCTTCCCATTCATGTTTATGGGGCCAAGGTCAACATGGGCATGATCCCTGAGCAAGGCATGCGTATGTAGCCATGGAGCCTCTGTAGGGCATTGCAGCGGGAAAGCCCGGTCATAGCCAAGTCAGACGACTCCAGGTGCTCCTGCAGAGGTGGCATCTGAGCTGGCCAGTAGTCCGTATCCTTGAGCCCTGTAGCAGCCTGCATCGGGTGGGGTACACCAGCTGTGAATCCACTAAAGGCACTGCATCCCAGCTTGAGGGAGGGGCTGGGGATTTCATAGGTCATTCCTAGCTTGTGGCAAACATCTTTCAGCTTCTCCTTTCCCCTCCTTTCCCCTCTCTCGCTCACTGACCTTTTCATTATCTCTGTCCTGTGCTGATTTCGGGTCTTCCTTGTCTCTTGGCTCAGCAGCCATCAAATGAAATTCAGAACCCTAATTTTGCATGTAGCAATGAGGAGGAGGGGTACGCATAGGGACTTTTCTTTGGGTTTCTCCAGCGATTGGAAATTGAGGGACAGGTCATCTCGCTTTGATTGGGGTCTCCCACCGCATTGGCTCCTTCTGCTGTGTTTCCACTTGCAGTTGAAGGTGCAGGTGGAGGAAGGGAGTTCCTAAGCCGGCTGGCTCTGTCTCATTGCTTATAATCTATGGGCAAGCCTTCCGCCGCCTGGCTCCAGGATGGCTGGGCCAAGTAATTATCCTGGCTAGTGGCATGGTGCTCGTTGCCATGGCCTTACCTCATCCCTCCCCGTTTTTCACTCTAGCTGCTTAAAATAAAAACCAGACCCGTTGTCCCCATAGACAGACTCCCTTCAGAGTGGGATGGAGTGTGTAGCGTGTCATATGTCATCTGATTTGCAGCGTGTTTGGGTGATTGCCAGATGAATACAGGAAGAAGGAGGGTGCAGCCTGGAGTGTGCGGGGAGATGTGTGGTTTTCCAGGGACAGAGTCTCCAGGCTGACACCTGACCCAGCAGGTGACTTTGACAAGTTGCCAGCCTCTTGAGGCCTCATCTGTGGATTGGAAGAAAACCTAGAAGTCACCCATCATTTTCTGGGAACTTGAGAAGTCTGTAGGGAGCAGGGCAGGGAGTGTCCCTAAGCCAGTGACCTCTAATTTAGAGAATATTAGTTCAATTTTTCTCTCCATCCCAACAATTTGCTGAGAAATGGTTGGAAGCTGCTGGTACCTATTTCTGGCTGGGTACTGACCCTGGCCTTTGCCTCACAGGGGTTGTCCTTGGACTTTAGCTTAGAGCTTTGTAGGGGAAGAGAGAAGAGAGGAAGAGGGCACTCCAGTGTGTAGGAAGGGGAAGGGAGATGAGCTCAGTGGATGTGCCACGGATGGTCACACTCACACGCTGGCCACAGGCTATCACGCATCACGTGGGTGCTCAGAGGCTCACCAGCACAAAGACAAGTGTTGCTGAACGCAGGTGGCTCCAGCAAACATCTGCAGACAACTCCCTGAATGTCCAGCTGCATCTCTGACCCCTTCCTTTCACTTTCCACTCTCTTCAACACTCCCCATTGTTCTTTCTCACCTCCTGGTGAGCCCTAACCCCTCCTTTGCCCTCTGTTCTCTTCGTAGGAGGTTGGGGGTGGTCGGAGGATGGTGGTGGTCTGCAGGCTGCTGGGGAGCCCCCTGGCTGGAGGCCGTTTCTGGATCTGCAGGCTCTATCCATAGGGCTGATTAGAACAAGCTGCAG